CCCTCGTCATTCACCCCCGTGAAGTCCTAACACTCTGAGGGCCCCTCTTCATCCCACTACTTTCTGAGCCTCAAGACTTGGTGACCTGAGAGCACCTTAAGAGTAGGAGGAGAAAGAGTGCGGTATAGGGAGAGGGGGCTGGGCCGAAAGGGAAGGGGCGGGAAACTCCTTCACACACAAGCTGGGATGGCCTCCTTCCATCTAACCAGTGGAACTGATTCCCGGGCCAGCAGGAAATGGTCCTGGGTGATGGTGTGGATGAAGCAAGGGAAGGGGCATTTTGCTACAGGTGAGTGGGTACAGAACATACCTGGACAGAGAGTGTTTCTCATTCACCACCCCCCACACATGGCTTAGGGGACCTCCAAGCAAACTTCCTTCTCTCATCACGAGGTCCACCTTGGCTCTGACCCCACCCTCTAACCACTGCCTCAAAAAAACCATATTTTATCAAACGGTATTTGCCGCTGAGAATACTATAATGTATAATTTAGTAAGAGACGATACAGTGAGGAGGTTAAGGGCAGACTTCAGGGCCAGATTCCTGGGTTCAAATCCCATCTCCATCACTGTCATATACACTTACCTCTCTGTGCCTCAGTTTGCTCATCTATGAAACGGGGATAATAACAGCACCTGCCTCACAGGATTTTTGTGAAGGGTTACATGAGTTAATACTTGGAAAGCACTTGGAACAGTGGCTGGCCTGGATTAGCAGCATATAAAGTCTTGCTACTATTAGAATGAAGTGGAACAAACAAACAGGCACTACTTCACAGAGGTATCGATGCCCGAAGCCTCACACCCAGCAATTCCACTTGAAAGACTCCTACAGACACTGATGGCTGTGTGAAATGGTATGTGTCCCAGGCCAGTGACTGCAACTTGGTTAGTTATAGCAAATGACTGAAAACAACTTAAATGTCTATCAACAGGGAGTGATTAAATTGCTCATGGTTTTCCATACAATGGAGTATAAAGAATGAGGACGTTCTCTAGGGATTTATGTGGACCAATTCCCAAGTTACACTGGTAAATAAAAAGTGACGTGCAGAAATGTTTTGTTATATATATTTTTACCACAGTTAAAAAAAATGCTTATGTAAAATGTTACCACTTGGCTATACACAGACAATGAAATATTATTTAGTCATAGAGAGAAATGAAGTCCTGATACACGCTACCACATGGATGACCCTTGAAAACATTACGCTGAGTAATAAGTCAGATACAAAAGAACAAATACTGATGGATTCTACTTATATGAAATACCTAGAATAGGCAAATACATAAAGACAAAAGTTTATTAGTGGTTACCAGGGGCTAGAGAGAGAGGAGAATGGGGAGTTATTTGATTCATGAGTGCGGAGTTTCTGCTGGAGGTGATGAAAACCTTTTGGAAAAGGATAGTGGTCATGGTTGCTCAACACGGTGAATGAAATTACGGTCACTGAATTGTACACTTAAAAATGATTAAAATGGCAAATTTTTTATATATGTATTTTACCACACTAATTTTTTTTTAAATGCTACCACTTGTATTTAAAAAAGGAAGAAAAGAAACTACACTCAGCCATCAAAACATGTTGGTGTTCTACAAGTACCACAGCCTCCACCAGACTGAGTCCGGCACAACTAGATGGTGCCCAGCTACCACCACCAGCTGCCCTGACAGGGATCACTGTAGAGGGTCCTGAACAGAGCTGGAGAAAAATGTAGAACAAAATTCTAACTCACAAAAAAAAAAAAAGACCAGACTTACTGGTCTGACAGAGACTGGAGAAACCCCGAGAGTATGGCCCCTGGACACCCATATAGCTCAATCATGAAGTCACTCCTGAGGTACTCCCTTCAGCCAAAGATTAGACAGGCCCATAAAACAAAATGAGACCAAATGGGCACACCAGCCTAGGGGCAAGGACAAGAAGGCAGGAGGGGACAGGGAAGCTGGTAATTGGGAACCCAAGGTCAACAAGAGGAGAGTGTTGATATGTCATGGGGTTGGCAACCAATGCCACAAAACAAGATGTGTATTAATTGTCTCATGAGAAACTAGTTTGCTCTGTAAACCTTCACCTAAAGTACAATAAAAAAAATATGTTAGTGTTGTATCAAACACAACTACAAATGCACAAACAACAGAAGACAAATTAGATAACTGGGACTTCCTAAAAATTAAATACTTACGCTCATCAAAAGACTTTACCAAAAGAGTAAAAAGAGAACCTACAGACTGGAAAAAAAAATCTTTGGCAACGGCATATCTGATGAGGGTCTAATCTCTAAAATATATAGAAAACTTCAACAACTCAACAACAAAATGACAAACAATCCAGTCAAAAAACAGACACTTCACCAAAGAGGATATTCAGGCGGCCAACAAATACTTGAAAAAATGCTCGTGATCAATAACCATTAAACCAACAAAACAACCAACCTGTTGCCATCGAGTCATTACGACTCGTAGCGACCCTATGGGACAGAGTTGAACTGCCCCACACGGTTTCCAAGGAACGCCTGGTGGCTTCGAACTGCTGACCTTTTGATTAGCAGCCATAGCTCTTAACCACCATGCCACCAGGGTTTCCCAATAGCCATTAGAGAGATGCAAATCAAAACAACGAGATACCATCTCGGCCCTGCAAAAACGGCACTGATCAAAAAAAACAGAAAACAACAAATGCTGGCGAGGTTGTGGGGAGACTGGAATGTAATAGTACAACCACTATGGAAAACAGTATGGCACTTCCTCCAAAAGCTAGAAATAGAAATACCATATGATCCAGCAATCCCACTCCTAGGTATATACCCTCGAGATATGAGAGCCGTGATACTAACAGACATATGCACACCCATGTTCATCGCAGCATTATTCACAATAGCAAAAAGATGGAAACAACCTAAGTGTCCATCAACGGATGAATGGATAAACAAATTGTGGCATATACATACAATGGAATACTACACAATCATAAAGAATAATGAGGAGTCTGTGAAACGTCTTACAACATGGATGAATCTGAAGGACATTATGCTAAATGAAACAAGCCAAACACAAAAGGACAAATATTGTATGGTCTCACTTTTATAAAAAGTCAAGAATATGTATATACACAGGAAGCTACATTCTTCAATGGTTAGCAGGGACAGGAGTGGGAGGAAGGGGGAGTAACTTTCTAGATAGTAGACACTTCTTATTTTTGGTGATAGAAAAGGCAATACCCAATATGGATGAAGTCCGAACAACCTGTCCAAGGTAAACAAAGACACTAAGAAGTACAAAAGAATAAAGGCCAATTTAGGTAAATGCTATAACATATACAATTTTGCAACAATAGTAGTAACAACCAAAATATATGTGTGTGGTTACATAGATAGATATGTGTGCACATATGTGTATAGAAAGGCATATGTGAGTACATGCACATGCATGTATAGGTGTATCTGTCCGATAAACCCATTGCTGTCAAGTCAATTCTGACTCATAGCAATCCCGAAGGACGAAGTAGAACTGCCCCATAGTGTTTCCAAGGCTATAAATCTTTACGGAAGCAGACTGCCACATCTTTCTCCCACGAAGCAGCTGGTGGGTTCAAACCACTGACCTTTTGGTTAGCAGCCAAGTGCTTAACCAGTATGCCACCAAGGCTCCTGGTTTATCTGTAGGCATATGTATATACATGTTTGTGTGTGTTGACTATATTCATATATATAAAATATAGCACACAGCAGACACACCTCATATCCAAACACCTCGTGGGATTGGTTTACTGGTTTAAAAGGCTTAGGATCATAGTCTCATGGGACAATTCAGTCAATTGGTATAACACAGATCATAACGACAATGTTCTACATCCTAGATGAGCAGCATCTGGGGTCTTCAAAGCTTGTGAGCAGCCATCTAAGATACAACTATCAGTCCCTACTCATCTGGAGCAAAAGAGACGGAAGGAAACCAAAGACTCAGAGCGGAAACTAACCCACAAGACTAACAGCCCACACAAAGCACAGCCTCATCTAATCTAAGACCACAAGACTACTGACCATTGTGACCAGGGACACAATAGAAGGTCCCAGACTGAATGGGAGAAAAATGTAGACAAAACTCAAATTCCTAAAAAAGGCCAGACTTACTGGACCAATAGAGACTAGAGGAACCTCAGAGACTATTGCCCTAAGATAACCTTTGAACTTGGAACTGAAGCTACTCCCAGAGGTCACCTTCCAACCAAATAATAGAAAGCCTTATAAAGTAAACAATATCACCCATGAGTACTGTGTTCCCTTAAATAATCAACTACATGAGACAAAATGGTCAACGTTTGCCCTAAAGCAAAGATGAGAAGGTAAGGAGGGGCAGGGAAGCTAGATTAATGGAAACAGAACAAACAGAATGGAAATAATGAGAATGCTGACACATTGTGGAAAATGTATCCAATGTCACAGAACAATTTGTATAAAAATTGTTAGATGGGAACCCAATTTGCTGTGTAAACTTTCACCTAAAACACAATAAAATTTCATTTTTTAAAAAAAAAGATACATTGGTGTGTATTTGCATGTATTTGCAGAGAGTATCTTGGGAAGGAGGCACTCTAGAAACCCAATGGTGGGTGAATGAGGTGAGAGACTTTGAATTTTTTCTTGTTAATACCTTCTGAATCTTGAACCATGTGAATTTTGTTTTTTCAAAAAATATTTCACAATACTTCACACATCTATCTTCACACAGTCCCAAACCAAAGGTTCCCCGCCACCCTCTCGCATAGCTACCTGTGGGGCTCAGCGTCTGGTCACTCTCGGGCGGCTCGTCCGCATCTGAGATCTGGATGTTAGGTATGGTGAGGGGCTTCAGGATGGTACTGGGAATAGAAAACAACCAAAAGGGAGGCTAGCTCAGCCCCTGCAGGGTCGCAGCTCCCCCTTCACTCCGAAGCACGTGGCTTGTGCTTGGGCTGGGGACCAGCCCACATCAGGCAACGAAGGATGCGGTGGGCTGCGCTGAGCATCCCGTGAGGCTGGCCCAGCTCCCAGGCTGAGCACGGAGGGTGGAGTTAGGGGGCTCTGGAGAGAGAAGATGCTCTTTTCCAGCATCTGTGACAACACAAGCACCCAATTCATCCAACTCAGTACGGAAAGCCCCAAAGAACAAAACCCACGTGTTGTCTGTGCTGACTTTCTAAGCACGTACGGGTTCCATGGCTTATTGGAAAAACCCTAATAATGGTTATTTGTTCCTCAGGACAGGATTCCAGTTCAGATTCATTTCTTTTGGAGGAAAACTCAGAAAGAGCTTCTGGCATCTAGAGGAAAAGTAGAAGGTAACACGTTGGCTGCTATGAGGGTGAGGCAGCTTTGGAAGGGACACTGATGACAGTGTTCTCAGAGGCACAGGGACAGAGTCCTCAGCCAGGTGGAGAAAGGACCACAAGGAGGCAGTCTGAGCCGAGACGTGCAAATACCTCCTCAAAGCCAAAAAGAACAATGGAGGAAGCCCAGAGAAACACACCCAATGTCAACAGAGGACTCAGCCAGACAGGAAAACACACATTTGATCAATTAAGACCATCCTATGGTGAGAAGCCACCACCCATCTGTTAGTCTGTCATACTGTGGTGGCTTGTGTGTTGCTGTGATGCTGGAAGCTATGCCACTGGTATTTCAAATACCAGCAGGATCACGCATGGTGGACAGGTCTCAGCAGAGCTTCCAGACTAAGACAGACTAGGAAGAAAGGACTGGTGATCTAATTTTCGGTACTTCTGAAAACTAGCCAATGAAAACCTCATGGATCACAGCAGAATATTGTCTAACATCCTTGCTTTGGACACATCATCAGGAGGGATCAATGGCTAGAGGAGGACATCATGTTTGGTGAAGCAGAGGGCCAGAAATGGCACGGGAGACCCTCAGTGAGTTGCCCTTATGGACTGAACTGTGTCCTCCAAAAATATGTGCTGTAAATCCTAACCTCTGTGCCTGTGATTATAACCCCATTAGACAATGGGTTATCTTTGTTACATTAATGAGACAGGATTAGCGTAGGGTGTATCTTGAGTCAATCTCTTACAAAATATAAAAAGAGCAGATTAGACAAGCAGAGATGGGGAAGAGAGATGCCAAACCACATGAAGATCGCCTAGGAGCAGAAGCTCAAACAGACAAGGACCTTCCTCCGGAGCCGACAGAGAGAGGCTTCTCCTAGAGCCAGCACCCTGAATTAGGACTTCTAGCCTCCTAAACTGTGAGGAAATAAATATCTGTTTGTTAAAGCCACCCATATGTGGTATTTCTGTTAAAGCTGCACTAGAGAACTAGGACAGATGGATTAGCACAAGAGCCACAAGGATGGACTCAAACATGTTGGTGACTGTGAGGATGATGCAGGGGCTGGCAATGTTTCTGTCGTAGGTAAGGTCACCATGAGTCAGAGTAGACTCCAGAGCAGCTAACGACACAAAGTAAGAAGAGCATGTGTTCACTGGAACACAGTCGGGATAGACCTCGTGTTAGCTGCCTGGTTGACAGTTTTGAGGGAAGACAATTAAAATAGAAAATCTGAAGGGACTTCTTATTGCAGTAGAACTTGTAGACTTCTGAGCCTCAGAATAGAACTGGTCAGATCCTCTCAGGAATGGGGAGTATGGGCCCCACAGAAGTCACTCCCCACCTCCTTGCCCAAGACCTTGTCTTGCTGCAACAGAAACTGGTGTTAGCATCCCTTCTTTACCACCATGGCCCTGGCATTCACGTTACTGAAGCCGGCATCCGGGATGAGATTATTGACCATGCCTGAAAGTCAATCAATGTACGCGGAAGTTTCAAGAGCAAACAAAGACCAGCTTGATGCCACAGGGAAGCGAGAAGAAACAGTCACGCAGAGTGAAGGACCCCTGACAGGCCCAATCAAAGGGCACATGGTCAAACAGAATTAAAAAAAAAAAAAAGCTCACTTGGGGAATGGAATGTAACCTGGTTTGGGGTCGGGGTAGGGCCATGGAAAGAGTTTAGTTCGTTTGAAATAAATACGGTGAAAGTGCAGACAGCGAAAGCAAAGAGTGTGAAATCCAGCAAAGCGAGGTGAAACCAAGAACCTTGACCCAAAGTCCCAGCGCCCGATGGGATGGGCAAGGACTTTTCTCCTGAAATTGCCCTGGATAGAAACCAGATCAGCTCCAGGGCTTGGCCACATTGTAGGCTTCTCTCCACATCAGAGAAAGAGATTTGGCTGTGGAGTTTAACAAAACATTCGATGGGGCCAGCAGCGAGGGTTTGGTTCTCATTTAAAATAGCAAAAACATCCCTGTGGTTTTGGCCAAGAGATCGGCTCCCTCCACCCAGGTCCTGGGCCAAAGGCAGTCGGCATCAGCAGCATCAGCAAGTTTCAGGCTGGAGCAAAGCTCGTCACTTGATCCTAAACACTGACGTCCCAGAAAGACATACAATGGGTGTGCCTTCGAGACCCACTTGGCTACTGCATTTGGCTGAGAAGAGAGGGGAGGACCAGACTCAGTGTCCATGGACATTCCAGTGGGACCGGGAGGAGGGGCCTCCCAGGCTCCTGAACATCACCTGGTCCAAGCGCAGCCCGAAAAGAGTAGACACGTGGCTGACCTAAGTTGGCTGACTCAGAAAGATCTGGCATTCCTTTTCCTCTTCCAGATGCCCTCAAGACAAGGACAGCTTTGGTCGGAATGTTCAAGCCCTAAACATTTCCAGAGTGGGGCCGTTCTATAAGGAGCCAGTTCTGTGAGCATCCCAGTAGGGAAGATGCTGGGGCACCAGGTGTCCTATTAGAAATCTGCAGCCTGGGCTTGGCTGGCTCTTAGCAACAGCCCTGAGACTCCGGAACTCTCCATGAGGGCGGACACTCGGCTCACCCAAGCTGTCGCACTTCCTCTCTCTGACTCAGCATCTCCCCTCCTCACTGTGACTCTCATGTGTTGGAGACACACCACTGTCTGCCCCTCTCTCCTTGTCATGGATTGAATTATGTCCCCCAAAATATCTGTCAATTTAGCTGGGTCATGATTCCCAGTATTGTATAATTGTGTACCGTTTTGTAATCTGATGTGATTTCCTTATGTGTTGTAAATTCAATCGCTATGATCTAATAAGATGGATTAGTGGCAGCTATACTGATGAGGTATACAAGACTGGATAGTGTCTTAAGCGAGCACAGACACATGGGAACCTCATACTGCCAAGAAAGCAGTGCCGGGAGCAGAGTGCATCCTTTGGAGCTGAGGTTCCTGCGCAGAGAAGCTCCCAGACCAAGGGAAGAATGATGACACGGACCTTCCTCCAGAACCCACGGAGAAAGCCTTCCCCTGGAGCTGATGCCCTGAATCTGGACTTGTAGCCTACTGGACTGTGAGAGAATAAACTTCTCTTTGCTAAAGCCATCCACTTGTGGTGTTTCTGTTAGAGCAGCACTAGATGACTAAGACACTCCTCATCCCAAGCCTCAAGCAGGTGGCAGTGGAGGCAGTGGAGGCAGTGGAACAGAGGCCGGGCCCAGGGCTGGCTGGAAGAAGGTGGTGTTTATCAACTTGAGAGCACACAGAACCCTCCCCCACCACAACGATTCCCCAGACACCCCCAACCCCATCCTTCTCACTCACCCCTGAGCCCCCAGGTTGCAGCCGGAGTGCCAGGAAGAGGAGGAGGGCGGGGGGCGGATACGCTCATTGTCATCCTGCATCTGCAGACGGATAGGCCGGCGCAGCCCCCAGGAGATGTTCAGCAGCCCCTCCACGATGAATTCGTCTTCCTCCTGCCCACAAAGCAATTGGCGCTGTGAGCCCAGAAAAGAGCCACAGAGGCCAGCGCCACGGCTGGGGACAAGTGGCAGCAAAATGGATGTATCCTAGCTGGGCAGCCTGAGTTACACTCCCCAGCTCCAAGACATGCTCTTTTTGTCTCTTTTATCAGCACAAAAGTTGCCATGGAATGCACATTTGCTTGTTCAAATTAAAAAAAAAAAAATTTTTCTTTTTTTGTTTTTATAGTAATGCCTTTAAAGAAAGCAGAACATATCTTCTAAAATAAGTAACACTAGCCTTGCCAACAGAAGCAAGAACTGAAATCTTTAATTCATTATTTCTCCCTCCCCTACTATGGAAAGTGATGTGTCTTTAGCTAGGATGTACGTTTAGCCATCTGACCCACACACTGAGGGCAGATTTAAAGCAGCATTTCCCCAAATTTACTCTGCACGGCACTAGCTCCTCTAGCAGATCAACTGTTACCTTGAAAAAGGTGTCATGAGTGATCATGAGTTGGGAGATGTTGGGTTAAACATCATTAATCAGATGTCTTTCCAGCAGGACTTCCCAGAGCCTGTAATAAGCTAATGTGCTATATTACGACTCTCCAAGAGGTGAATAAATCCTGCAAAAGTTCCAAATTTATACTCAAGGGTTACTGACCGATAAGAAGCTAAGTGTGAAATCCTTCTAAGGGCATTTACAGGTTCTATCCCCAAAGAAATGGATCTCACTTATGACCATAAAACCCTTTCATCATGGAGCATTCTAACTTGTTCTATAGGACACACCCAAGGAGAGCTGTTCAAGGACCACAATCTTGCTCATGACCCAGCCACTAACTAACAGAATCTTTGAGAACAGGGCCTTTCCGAACCCACGTTTTATGGGCAAGGTCCACAGTGTCTGACCTGGGCCATGACTACATCTTCAAGATAAGGCCAATGGGTGAAGATGACAGTTGTCCAATCAGCAACTACCCTGAGTCCCAGGATCATCCTGAGAGAGACAGTGGGGAAGAAATCAGGGCAGGAGAGGAGCGGAGCAACTTTAGGACACTTTGGGATCTTGGGGACAAAGACAATACTTACCCACAAGCTATTTATGTCATCTTCCAGCTAGATAATGCTGACATCACCACTTTATATTACATGAACGTAGGACAGAATTTAACCCAAAGCAGGACTCGGCCTAAGTGGAGTGGTTTGAGGGGCATAAAAAAGGCCACTGTATCCCAAACACTATCCCCAACCAGCCTGCATTAGTTGGAAGTCCACCATTTGATATCCATTTCTATAGATTAAATCTCCATGACTTGATAACCTGAAAATGTGTTTAGAAAGGTATTACACATGCCTTCTTATCAGTCAAGAACTCTTGAGTATAAATTACTCTCCCAGGCTCCTTTATAACTTGCCGTCTATCTGATAACAGTCTCTATAGAGACGGATACAGGACAAGTAAGCTTAGATTCTGGATGGGGGCTGGGGAAAGATAGATGGATAACAAACGGAGCTCCAAAGAAGGGCACCTGTGAAGAAGGCTGCAGTGTGGGGAAGAACTAAGAGTTACCACCCAGAGCTTACGAAACTTGGCCAGGTCACCAAAGTGATATAACTTAGGCCCAGATGTGTAAACGTAGAGGACTGGGCAGGGTTCCTGGGTTGCCCAAGAAGAGGAAGCCTGTTTGGAAGCCATCTGAAAGGGTCCTTTCATGAGTGCCTCCCTTTGGAGAATCCCCCCTCTGAGGCTGGTGCTGGCCCAGCACACAGCCACACACGTGTCTCTAGAGCAGAAAAGCTTGTCCTTTTTATAAAGAAGCAGGACACCTGGGGTTCCCTTCCACAGAACCCCAGGAATGCCCAATAACTTCCTAAATGAGAGGCCATACACTGTGACAGGAGGAGCAGGGGTATCCTGGGACCTCAGGATCCCCTCATACCCAGGACACATGGAGACAAAGAATGGGCTAGCCCACCAGGGAAGAAGCCACAGAGACTGCCCTGCCTGGGGCCTCCTTACCTCTCGGTGCCGCAGCTGCAAATTCTGGCCTTCGTAGTACAAGTTGTAGGTCTTCAGGTGCAGGAGGAGTTCATTCCTTAGAGTAAAAATACAAGCATGTAACATTCTTGGCTGACGCCACTTATACTGCAGCTGTGGCCTCTTGTTCTCACTTCCAACCCGGCCTTTAGTCACTGCACTTGGGTGCTTGTGGGTGAACACATGTGTACATGTGCACGCACACACACACATGCAGAGTTCCACCACCACTACCCCAACACCATCTTCCTCCAGGACCGGGGTCAAGTGTAACCTCCACTCTAGAACACACTGAGCTTAAGCAGCTCTAAAAAACCAAGGCAGGCCTGAACTGCTGACAAAGGTGGGCAACCCTGACAACACTCTCCAGGCCCAAGTTAAACAAGCAGGCAGTGTTGATAAGTCACAGGCGCACAGAGGCAAATACAAGCCAAAGCCCTGCCTCTCCCCAGCCTTTACTCCCTCGTGCGTACTGTGAGTTAGGAGAGGATTATCGTTACAGGCCTTTACAAGATCAGAAATTTCCAGGCTTTTCCAAACACTAGAAGGGTTAGATCTGGGCCCCACTGACTTATGCTTCATAGACATGACCCTATTGTGTGCTCAGAAACTTGCAAATTCCCATCAACCGTGGAACGGATAAATAAAGGGAGTATCATAGATTGAACTATGTCTCCCAAAACATGTGTGTATCAATTTGGCTGGGCCATGATTCCTGGTATTGTGTGATTTTCCTATACATTGTAAATCCTGCCTCTAGGATGTTAAAGAGGGAGGATGGCTGGCAGTTGTGTTAGTAAGGCAGGACTCAGTCTACAAGATTGGATTACGTCCTGAGGCAATCTCTTGAGATATAAAAGGCAGAAGTGAGCAGAGAGACAGGGGGACCTCATACCACCAAGAAAGCAGTGCCAGGAGCAGAGTGTGTGCTTTGGACCCGGGGTCCTTGCACAAGGAAGCTTCTAGTCCAGGGGAGCATTGATGAGAAGGCCAACAGAGTAAGAAAGCCTTCCCCTGGAGCTGACGCCCTGAATTTGGACTTTTAGCCTACTTTATGGTGAAGAAATAAATTTCTCTTTGTTAAAGCCATCCACTTATGGTATTTCTCTTGTAGCAGCACTAGATGACTAAGATAGGGAGGTACAGTCACACAAAGGAGCCCTGGTTGCACAGTGGTTAAAGCGTTCGGCTACTAACTGAAAGGTTGGCTGTTGGAACTCACCAGCCGCTCTGCAGGAGAAAGATGTGGCAGTCTGCTTCCGTCAAGATTTACGGCCTTGGAAGCCCTATGGAGCAGTTCTACTCTGTCCTTCAGGGTCACTAGGAGTTGGAATCAACTCCATGGCAATGGGTTTTGTTTTGGTACAGTCACACAATCAAATATTAGACCATGATGAGGATATGAATAACTACACACAAGATTGATGAGCCCCAAAGATACTATGTTGCATGAAAGAAGCCGGACACAAAAGAGCACATATTGCATGAGTCCATTTGTATAAAGTTGGAAATTCAGGATGTTAAAATTTAGTACGTAGCTCAGTTGCAGGGTAATGACCAGAAGTGGGCATGAGGGGGTTCTGGGCGTTGGCAATATTCTACTCTTGATCTAGGTGCTGGTTCCACAGGTGGGCTCAGTTTGTGGAAATTCACAAAAACTTACAAACTGCCCCTGAAGCCTGGTATCAGGCCTCCTTAGCTGCCAACTACTGGTTCCCAAGTGGCCAGCCAGGAAGCACAGCTCCAGGAGATGGCGAGAGATGGATTTCACCCTTTGTTATCAGAGTGAATCTTTGCCAAACCCCACCCCACAGGGAGATACCACTCCAGCAGGGACTCCCCCCGGGGGACACCCCAGACAGGACATGAGCAGCCACCAGCCACCTCCTCCTCCAGGAAGCCCTCCAGGACCCCACCACTTCTGAGGTCCCAAGGGTGACATGTCTTGAAGCCCCCTTCACTTCACTCTCTATGGCCAGGCTCTGGGGGCTAGCTGTTATCTGTAGCAGTGCCTTGCTGATGTTCTTTCTCCCTAGTCCAAACCCATCTGCTTAGCTCCTTCTCTCACACAGGAGCCCCAGCTCTCTGATGCACAGAGAAGCCGCCTGCTTCTACTTCCATCCACCCACAACGTGCCCAACTCAGGACTGGCCCCTGGGGACACAACGCTCAAGCAAAACCTCTTACTTGGAAATGTATTTATCTTGTCCGCAAGGGACCAGGGCCGTTTGGCTGCTGTAGTCCATTCTTCCTTTCTCTTTTCATCAGAAGGATCGGCCTACATTTGAAAGAAGACAGAGGTTAGCGTCAGGTTACGTCCTTAGGAGCTCCGTGGAACTTGCAGACAGGTACGGGGGATACGGGAAGGCACAAAATCAGACGGTATGGCTCTCCATCCCCCTGATTCACACTTGCGCTGCCCATGCTGACCCAGGGCTGTCAAGACAACTACCTGCTTGCCGCTGCCCCGGCCTGCACAGTCTCTGAGAGCAAACACCCAAGGAGAGAGGATGACCCCAGGACAGTCAGATTACGACCCGAGGCAGTCCGAGAACAAATGCCGCAGTCCAGGGAGGCTTTCTGGAGGAAGGGACCTCTAAACTGAGACCTCGAGGATGAGATGGAGTTGAAAAAGGGGAGGGCAATGCTCTAGGCAGAAGGAACACGCACCTCCAGAATTGTACAAGATGGAATGGCGAGTGCGGGCCACAACCATGTTGAGGCGGCTGGACTTTATCTGGAGGGTCCTGAGGTGCCATGGAGGGATCTAAAGGGGAGGGGTGTGATCTGGCTTGAATTTTGGAAAGATTACCTCACCCTACTTCCCATTTTATGGAGAACGGATTGGGGAAGAAAACAGAAGAGGGGAGAGAGTTCACAGGAAAATAAATACAAATAGCTATGAGAACAGGCTCAACCTCCCTCGTTACGATGTTTCACTTACCAGATTGATACAAATCAAGCAGTCCAGCGGCCCCAAATTCTCCAGGGCTCAGTCACTCTCTACCTACTGGGTGATCTTACCAAGGCCACAGCTATAAATCCGATGTATCTGCTGATGTTGCCCAATCTTCATTTTATAAGCTTGACTTCTCATCTTTTTTCTTACTTTTACACTTCTTAGGGAAGGAGTGTTAGGAAAATGCCTAGGTAGCTATCATATTGTTGATTTGAAAGTACAGGTAACTGATTCTATAACCCACTCCCTCCTTTGTCTGCCTCCAGGACAACATCTGCATCTCTCTTCACAACTTTGCAACCATCACCACAAATCACTGGCTGCCTCCAGCCAGCTGGAAAAAAAAAAAACAGGCTAAATTTATATACACTCTAAGGCAAACAGCAGAGCTAACAAAGAGCCGGAAAGTTAGAGTTGAGTTTGATATTCCTTAAACAGAGCATTGTTCCTCACACAAGGAAGGGTCAGAGAAAGACTGTTTATGGGGCTAGAATGTGAATTCAATTGGATATTTCCTCTGAGGGTGCCTGCCAATATCTCCAGCCTTGGAGAGAGGGATATGCTCAGCTGGTTGGCTGCAACTCCTCCACCTTCCATGTTATTATTTAGAAATTCGTGGAGCCCTCCTAGATTCCAAAAGGCCTTATAAGACTCTTTTACAAGCATCGTTTCCCACAATGCCTTGGGAGAATACAAACTGATCCTTACCATCTCTTTGCAGAAGGGAATGCAAGGCAGGCAGGAAGAAGGGGTTTCCCACACCAGCCAGCATCTTAGGCACAGAATTGAAACAGCTCTTATCACTCAGAGAAAGGAAAAGAAAGAAATAAAGAGAGTAGGGAAGAAAGGGAAGATTTTATACAAATAATTTTTAACGTGGAGGCACTTTTTGAGAGTCTAAAAACTATTTAAATCTACTGAACTCCTTCTACCAGTTTGCTAGCTGCCATCATGTCAACTCTGACCCATGGCAACTCCATGTGTGTCAGAGTAGACCCATGTGTGTCACAGTAGAACTGTGCTCCATAGGGTTTTAAATGGCCAATTTTGGGGTAGTAGATTGCCAGGCCTTTCTTCTGAGGTGCCTCAGGGTGGAATCAAACCACCAACCTTTCGTTTAGCAGCCGAGCATGTTAACTGTTTGCACCACCCAGAGACTCTGAAATTCCATCTACAAACATGGTCATTTACCCCTTAACTGTTCTAAATGAGTACACCTCTTTTTGGGAAAACCACTTTGAAACATAAAATGTATATTGAATGTTTAGTGACTACAGAGCATGTCTGTTAGAATGTTTCAAAGTAAATATTGTTGGGCTTGCCAAGCGGGACACAAACATCCCAGGCTTCAGTCATGTTGGAGGCCTGTTTGGGTCACCAACCAGCAAGTCCTCCTTCTGGCACTGGCTTCAGGCTTTGGCAGAATGTTCTGTATTGTCCCCCTTGGCACCATCAAATGCCTGGGTGATGCCACCCAGTTTGCCAGTGGAACCTAGTATGTCCCACGTGAAGACCCAACTATTACTTCCTGCCTGCTTCAAAGGCAACTTGGGATTATGCCCTTCCCAGCCACAGAGAACTTTCTGGGCCTGCTTTTCACGTTATGTGAGTGTGTCCGGGCCCCTCTCCCAGGTCCAAGCAAACTCAAAGGTTTCTTAGACCCTGACCCAAAACTTACCTCTCCCTACAAACTGTCTCCACAGGTCCTGGGCAGTGTTGAGTGGACAGGACCTCATACTTCAGCCTTCCCTTCCTTACAGCACTAACCACCATAGAAATCATCTGTCTGGTGTCTCTTTCCCCTACTGGACTCAGAGCTTCCTCTCTCTGGCCCCTAGCTCCTAACCTGTGGCTCTCTCCTACAATTGTTTCCAATTTTTACCTCCTCAAGTGAAGGAGTAGATTCAACAGCCAGCCCAAGGAAAGCTAACTTGTTGTCATAGGTCAGGGCCGCTAGAAACAGAGCCTGAGACAAGGATTCCAGTGCACAGGACTTACTGAGGGAGGCTCCCGGGAGTAAGCTGTAGGGGAGTAAATGACGCAGGATAGGGCAGGGGAAGGAGCTAAGAAGGTTTGCGGGTTCAGCTAAAATCTAGATTCAACCTGATCACATGGGGGCTCTGGAGTGTGAATGGACCACAGAGTTGTCCCTCCTGAAGGGCAGGCAGGCCTGGCTTCTGTAGCCCTATATCAGTCAGTCCCTGGGTGGTGCAAATGGTTAACACCGAAAGGTTGGCAGTCCAAATCCACACAGAGATACCTTGGAAGAAAGGCCTGGCAATCTACTTCCGAAGAATTGGCCTTTGAAAACCCTATGGAGCACAGTTCTACTCTAACACAGAGAGGGTCACCATGAGTTGTAATCAACTCCACAGCAAATGGTTTGGGGTTTTGTTGGTCAGTCAGTCAAGGGCTGAAGAGTAGGGGGTGACCTCCCAGGCATTTCCCAACACTCACAACAGGGATGGATAAAGGGGATCTGGGTGAGACCTCACAGCATCTGCTACACGTGCCTGCTCGTTTGGACTTGAAGTAACTGCAACTCCTTCCAGATGGGAGGAAGCAGCTGCCCACGCAGGAGCTGCCGCTGCTGTGCAAGGCTGACCTCCCAACCTCTCAGCCAGTCAGAATCCTGCAGCTGCTGCACAAAGGGCCTTTTCCTCTCCTTCTCATAGCCCCCCACTCACAGGTGCTTCCAGCCCCCACAGGCGGCCTCCCCAGAATAAATGAGGGGCCATCAAAACCCTAGAAATTTTCAGACTTAGCTTTCCACTAGGAGAGCAAACACAAAAGTCCTCAAGGAGCTCTAAGAGTTGGAAAATGCATCCACAGTTCTCTCCAAAGACAGCAGAATTCCCTCTGCCCTTAGCTCTTGGTTCCTCCAAACTCTGGTGCCCTCACACCATGTCGTCAGGTTAACCTGGTCTCAGGGCATCCTAGGACGCTGGCTCATCCCTACAGTTTCCCTTCCAGCCTAGAGACAAGCATCATTCATTTTATTTATCCACTAGGAAGTCCTCAGAGACAGAGAGGGACAAGTGCAGAATAGAAAGGTGGGCAGCCCTGGGGGAGGGTGGGGAAGTCCAGGTGGATGAAGAATCCCCCTCAGTAGTTTTTTATTGCTTTCCTGGTTGGAGAGCAGGAGACAGGCCCCACCCTACTGCTCACTTAAGATGAGGGACAGGGGGAACCGGCAATTTTTTGGACCCAGGCAGCTACAGCAGGGGGAGAAGAGGGGCGGGGACAGGCTCAGGGCTTTCCACAGAGAATGCCCAAGGTGGCAAAGCCCGCAGAGCTGGTGAGAGGGCCAGGCCTCAGCTTAAACCAAGGTGGGGGCGGGGGGGCAGCCGGCCTGAGACACAGGACATCTCAGAGGTTCTCAACCCTGGATGCTAATTAAAATCTTCCTGAGCAAGGGCAGGGCAGGAAAACTAAAACTCCTGATGTCCAGGCTGCAAGCCAGAACAATTACATCAGACCTACAGGCAAGGCCCAGCCATCAACACTTTTTTTTTTTTAATTGTACTTTAGATGAAGGTTTACAGAGCAAACCAGTTTCTCATTAATACACATATTGTTTTATGACATTGGTTGCCAACCCCACGACATGTCAACATCCTTCCCTTCTCGACCCTGGATTGCCCATTACCGGCTTGCCTGTCCTCTCCTGCCTTCTCGTCCTTGCCCCTGGGCTTGTGTGCCCATTTAGTCTTGTTTTGTTTTATGGGCCTGTCTAATCTTTGGCTGAAGGG